ATTCTCGTGATATCACATCACGTCAACGTGGGATCATTATTATGATTCGTAACTGCGGAACTAAACACTAAAAAAAAAGAAGCGCAAAATTATAATTGAGCGAAATTCAACTGAGCATTTCTGCGAAAAATGCCGAATTGTGTCAGGCATTGGTCCAAAGTAAATCCACCCTTATTACACTGCGGTATATGTCACAGCATAAATTAATAGACAAATCAATAGTTTTTCCATAAAACGGGTTGAAAAATGTCACCGAAGTCCGGCCACAACACGAATTCAAAGCACTGAAGTGTATTGAAAAAAAAAATTTAGTGATACAAACATAAATTTAAATCCAATCTAACGACCTGAAGGATTTCGCGCTCAATTCACGCTCCTCAATAATAATCATTGAATAATTACCGTACCTTCATCCGAGTATTTCATGATATTTAATCGACCTTACAAAAAATACTCGTTCCCTATCACAGACAAGCCTGGTTTTATTGCAGTGCTGCCCAACATACGGCCCGCAGGGCTAGATCCGGCCCGCCGCAGAGACTGTTCATCTATCCCATGGCACTTTCCCTATAATTTTCAAGATGGCAGCCAACATTATTCAAAATACTGAATACATTGAACAATGACTTCAACAATTTAGCTTTACCGTTTAAAATCTTGAAATAAAGGATATGCTTGGGATTCCATTCATTTAGCACTGAACTAAAATTTGAAATTTTTAATTCAAATAGGGTAATTTGGAACCTCGTAAATTTTTTGTCTTTACTGAAGCCTGCAAGGACTCCCCATTTCTGCAATGTGGCTCTTAGCCAAACAAATGTATTACTGTAATTTAGCCTTTTCTCATTTGGGCAGTACTGATTGCATTCTAGCCAATGATATCCACCATAATAACGGCGTTTTTTCTTGCGACGGAACAGTTCGTGCAAAATCCTTGTCAACGAATGACCAAGGCCACACTCATTTCCTGCTCGACTCCATGTTTGACAATNCCAAATGGATCATAGTCAATAGGGTTTTTTTATTTGAAAGAAAAACTCATGTGACAACAGAACGTACGTTGGAGAGCAACACAATTTATATATATACAGTATTCCATCATTCTTATGCCACTAAAAGGTTCATAAATTTGTTTTAAAACAGCGAAAGTCCGACTTCGTCCAAAATACATCAATCATGTTTGAAGCGACTTCGCCTATAGTTTCTTATTGTCGAACAATTCGAAAGAGAAGACATTCTGGAGTAATTTAAAAAGCAATGACATCGACTGTTGAAAAAAAAGAGCCCTGTGATCAAGCGAACTTTTTAAAAGGTAGCGAGCTAATGGCTGTCAAACTTTTCTGTAGTACTGGCACAACATCCGGAAAGCGATCATTCCGCACTTCCGCAGTACACGAGTAATATTTCCAAAGAACCATTTTTTTCTGAAGCACTCGAGGAAGCGAGTAAACTTTTTTGTCAGATTGGTACAATATTTCTTTTTATCAATCTCAAAAAAGTTGTAGCCTTTTATGCCCGAACGCTTCATCAAGCACAAAACTAGCGAAACATATGAAATATGCAGCAAGTAGAAGAATGCCAGAGGCATAAATATCGTACAGTGGGAGCCGTACTGTATGTACATTGTTATGCTGTTTTATTATACTTAATTCTTGACGAACGAAAGGTTGACTTGAATTACCTCTTATTCTCGGACGTACAATTTCAACATTACAAGAGTGTCACTTTTAAACCAGACGCATTAGCAAAAACTTTTGAAAATGCCTTTCAAAGGTGTGCTTACCCACAACTTCAAAGATTCGCCTTCAGAATTTAACACGTGACAAGTTTCTCTTCGTAATGCTGCTTTTAAAAGTCCAGCTTATATTTTAAACGTCTGCATCAATTTATTAATAACTTAATGGACATTAATTCGACATTTTTTCTAGGATGAAAACTCTAACCGTCAAAATTACTGTATAAAATAAATACGGTCCAGTTTCTTCTGTAAATCCTTCGAGGCAGAAAATTTTACAGCCCTACTCCATCCAGATAAATAAAATATTTTTCTGAGTGGCTCTGTTCATCAAACCGAATCGTAGAATCAGAATTAAAAGAAGAAGCGGGGGAGAAGAAATAACGGGAATGTGCCACAAAAAAAGGTAAGTTCCCGTCAGTCGACTTTGCCTTTTTTTTCTCCCTCAACAGCCTGCCAAGCATTATTTTGCATCAAGGAAGGGAAAAACGGACGATTTTTCCGCGGGTCTGCCGGGTTTTCACTGATGATTCATCCTCCATCCCAACGTCACCGCTATCGGTCTGATCGAGCATCGCAGAAATACAGAATTTCCCTTCCAACTGCGCAAAAAACGGGCGAAAAAAGGGACCTCGATTTCCTCGGCTTCGATAAATCGTGCCGATTTTCTGCTCGATTTGAAAGAACAAAGCGGCGTGTACACTCTGACTTTGAGTGACATCACCTTCCTCAGAATGTCCTGAACTAAAGCATCAAAGTTCGCGCTAAATTAAAGTCAAAATTACAAATTGCAGGAAAGGGACAGAAGTGTAATTACAGCTGTACACTGGAAGAAAGAGGCACAGAAATATTAAAAATGTCGGACTTTACAGCAAATTTTATTGCTCAAGACGGCATCATGTCGTGGGGAATGTTTTGTTCTTCGAAAATTTCGGGAATTCTCGTGATATCACGTCACGTCAACGTGGGATCATTATTTTGATTCGTAACTGCGGAACTAAACACTAAAAAAAGAATCGCAAAATTTTAGTTCAGCGAAATTCAAGTGAGCATTTCTGCAAAAAATGCCGAATTGTGTCAGGCATGCATCTAAAGAATATTGACCCTAAGCTTATTCCACTGGCGGATTTGTCACATAAAGCATAAATTAATAGAAAAATCAATACTTTTTCCACAAAACGGGTTGAAAAATGTCACCGAAGTCCGGCCACAACACGAATTCAAAGCACTGAAGTGTATTGAAAAAAAATTTAGTTCACTGCTTTCAACTTATTTTTACGGATCAGTGATACAAACAGCCAGTTAAATCCAATCTATAACGGCCTGAAGGATTTCGCGCTCAATTCACGCTCCTCAATAATAATCATTGAATAATTACCGTACCTTCATCCGAGTATTTCATGATATTCAATCGACCTTACAAAAAATACTCGTTCCCTATCACAGACAAGCCTGGTTTTATTGCAGTGCTGCCCAACATACGGCCCGCAGGGCTAGATCCGGCCCGCAGAGACTGTTCATCTATCCCATGGTCCCTTCCCTATAATTTTCAAGATGGCAGCCAACATTATTCAAAATACTGTATACAGTACATTGAACGATGACTTCAACAATTTAGCTTTACCGTTTAAAATCTTAAAATAAAGGATATGCTTGGGATTCCATTCATTTAGCACTGAACTAAAATTTGAAATTTTTAATTCAAATAGGGTAATTTGGAACCTCGTAAATTTTTTGTCTTTACTGAAGCCTGCAAGGACTCCCAATTTCTGCAATGTGGCTCTTAGCCAAACAAATGTATTACTGTAATTTAGCCTTTTCTCAGTTGGGCAGTACTGATTACATTCTAGCCAATGATATCCACCATAATAACGGCGTTTTTTCTTGCGACGGAACAGTTCGTGCAAAATCCTTGTCAACGAATGACCAAGGCCACACTCATTTCCTGCTCGACTCCATGTTTGACAATGTTGTTGACATGTTTGTAGGGACGTGGGGAAGGAATCGGGGAATGCAGTTGATTGGGCGCCAGTTCAGAGTCTGCGAGTGACGCCGGCACACACACACACAATTGGCACCGAAATGTTCTTATTGCGTTCCACGCGCCAGGGCTTAATAAAAATTCCTTCGTAAGAGGCCCCCTTTTTTTCCGGGCGAACAATAAAAAAGTGACGATGACGGGGGAAATACCTTTCCTAATGAACTGGGTCACCCTCGGAACGCTCGGGTTCCACGAGCAAAATTAATTTTTGTCGGACAGGAAAGAATTAGGCAATGCGAAACCTTATCCGCTGCCACGAGCAGCACAAAAAATTCGAGAACAAGAATTTGAGCAGCACGATATGAGCTGGACATTGATCTTGCTGGAAAATTAATGAGTTATCGCTGATGCTTGAAAAAATAAAACCGAATACCTTCCGAATTTCCATGACTAAAAAAAAAACCACTACTCCCCGGAATCAAAGGCAATAAAATTTCTCGTTTTACGGCGGTTTTAATGAACTGTCAGGCGATTCAGATTTTGCTAATGGCTTTTTAAATGAACATTGATGTATAATTCAAGCAGATTACAGTACCGCGAAAATTTTTTTTCAGCAAGAAAAATATACTCCCTGCATTTTTGCGAATTACAATACATATAAAAAATCCGAAATCTCGTGGCCACGAGCATGAAAGTGTATTCAAAAATCATATTGATGCGAAAAAATCCCGAATGCTCGTTTTCCGCAATTAAAAAAAAAATTTATACTGCGGAAAAGGGGAAAATGTGAGAGGTGAGAAAAAAATAATAGAATCATTCGGTAATATCCAGGAAGTGCTTCGAAATACCGCGGAAAGGGGACGGTTTATATTTTTCGTTCCCAGGTAGGAATGACTATCACCTTGAGCTATTTTAATAGAAAACTATTTATGGAATGCACGTTTCATCCCAATTCGTGGCTTGGCTGGTTTATGAACTCGGATCTCAAAAGAATTATACATAGATCCTGAAGGTTTAGTTCCTGGAAACGTGATAATATCTCCATCACCATGAACCGGTATCATGTACCTTTTTAATGGAATGTGTATTCCGAATCCGGTTGCTTTTACGCATAATACCAAGAACTATTTCACAAAATACTGCACGCTATTGATGCTCGTAAACTAAGCCGATACAGTAAATTTATGCAGCAAGAACATACATTTTTTCACGCTATTATTGTAGGAAAAAAAGGCATTATGAATACTATCCCGAAAAAAAACTAAATAATTCTTTTCTGCTCACCGCATAGGCTTGAAGAGTGCTTGTCCTCCACTGGCGAAATCAATGATCAGCTTCAGTTGTGTACCTCCTTCCTGTTGCTCTGTAACGAAAAAAGAAATATTCTTAATTAACATGAAAATTCATCTCTCTCTCGAAACGTATTTCTTCTTATCACCCGGATTACATCGTAAAACGTGAGATAAAATTCAATGCGGGACCGATTTTTAAGCTGTAGTATTTCTCAAACTGTTCGAGCCACCAGGTCACAAAATTGAATGGCCAAACCAAAAAGCTTTGAGATGACGTTCAGTTTTATGATTTCATCAAAGTGATCTGGACATAAAATCGCGGTTTGCTGTTACGTCAGAGTTGAGAGGTTTCTTCAAGTACGTTACGTTTTAATAGTCAGCGTTCAAACTAGGGACCGTTAGATAATTTTGAGCAATATTCTAGGTAGCCACATGCATTTTAAAAACGTAACGCTACTTATTTGCGAGGAACGCGAAGATAAAATAACGAATCAGGCGTTTGAACAATTTTCATGGTGACATTTACTTATTATCTTGAAACTAGTAACACTTTTCGAGAATGTGTTCCCCGCAACAAGAACGCTTCATTCTTTCATTTTTGGAATAGATATCCTTTTTTCGATTACCCTCGTGAACGAGTCTTATGATATCGTTAAAAAATCTTCCAAACAATGAGTTGCCTCGATGGTTTTCGATGGATCATTTGAAAGCACGCAGAACCAGGACAACTCCGGAACCGACACATTCAAACTTCATAAGAAAGCACGCAGGAGTTTTTCATTTCTGGTAAGTGAAATCTAAATGCATGTTCTGGTCATTGAAATGCATTAAAATTCGTGTACAGTAATGTATTGTGGGCAATTTAGTAAAAATACAGGTGGTACGTCGCAATTTGCCCTTCCGCAATATTCGACCATCCCACAATTCAACGGTCAAATTTGCTGGGAGGTCAACTCTTAATTCGAAAAAAGTTGCAATGAAGTCTGTCATCTTGATTTTAAATGTCAAAAAGACAATGCCGGTTGAAATTTATCAGATGAAAAAATTTAAGTTGTCTTTTCTCCTAATAAAACTCCAGATAAATTTTCACCTGCTGAAATTATTCATCTTAATTTTTTCATTCTGAAAAGCCTTACTTCAAGGCCACTTTTATAAATTTTGAATACAATCCACAACATAGCTGCTTCTTCGGTTCCTAATTTTTGAAGAAGCAGAATTGTTTCAAATGCCTGCCATAAAGTCTTTCAAGCAAAATTTGTTCGAACCTGCAAAAATTGTATGAAGCCTTGTCGGTCTGCCAAAAAATGTTTGGGTAATTTTTTGGTTTGCAGAAAGTTTTATGAAAATTTTCTGGTCCGCGGGCCCAAACAGGTTGGGAAACTGTTTCTAACCTCTCGATGTTCAGGCGAATATTTCGCACTGAGGTCGTGCAAATTCAAACGCGCAAAAAACCGGAGATGGTCTTACAAAAACATTACCAGACATTGAACAGAAAGATGAAGATTTGAAATTGATGAGGAAACCTGGATAAATTTGACTTCGGCACTACTCATATACTGTATGTCCAAGCATAACAAACTAAGCAGGAATTTTCGACTGTCTTTACCTGATGCCCGCCAAAAGGCGACGGCGTAGATATTTTGATAGAAAAAGGCCGGACCTTTCCGGGTGGTCAAATTAGACACACGAGTTTGATCGATAAGGTCACTATTTCCATACACTTTTTTGTGTCATTTTTTTTTTACAGAAAATGTCGACGAAGATCGGACGATGCGAGGGTGTAATGAAATGTGGGCGTCACACCTTTCGGCCTTTTCGTGCAGCTCATGCATTCCTCTCTGGCTTCAACGATAAGAAAACTGTTTTGATATGAGAGCGAAAGTTCCATGATTCCAACATCGGTAAACTAGAAAAATGAATCGCCTCACGCAACTTAAAAAAAAAAAAAAACCCTCACGGATTAGATCTTTCTAAAAGCGAAATTCCAAAAACCTATAAACGTGGAGAAAATTGTTCGGAAACAGCATTCTACAAAGTTANAAAAAAAAAAAAAAAACCTCACGGATTAGATCTTTCTAAAAGCGAAATTCCAAAAACCTATAAACGTGGAGAAAATTGTTCGGAAACAGCATTCTACAAAGTTAAATACTGTACGTGGAATCTGAGGCATTAATTATTCAATTCATTTGATCTTCAAATTCTTCAACTGAGAAAAACTGTATATTCACAGTTGTAAGCGTCTAGGTTTTCAATTTTGAAATTCAAGGATTTGAATTCCGCGTAGATTTTTTGAAGCCAACAAAGGGAATTCTAACTGTACGTTCCGAAATTCCCTCTTATTTCAAGTTCACCACAAAAATAAAAAATGCCATCTCAAAGTTTTTTACAACCAAAAAATGAACAAAAAACTTGACAACGGCAAAGAGACTAATCCTTCCACCACTAAAATGAATACTGTATATCTGTTTCGCAATATTGTCATACGTCAAAATAACCGGAGAAAAACTTCAAAGAATTCTCGAACAATCCTGAAATAGAAGAAAAGCTTTGCTTTGCAAAAAGATCGTAAGTAAATTGAAGCCACGCGTAGCAGGGACCACATCGCAGAGAATGCTGTCAATCCGGGTCAGTGTCACTGTCAAGCACATGTTGATTTTCTTTTCTTTCCATGTCCTTTCATCGTATTATTTTTTCATGGAGGTTCTGATCCAAGACCGTTGATCGGAACATCAATCACGTGCATTAGCTACTTTATTACAACTTCATTCATAGCTCAATTCATTCAAGAATACGCCGGGATTCTCTTTTTGGTTCCATATCATATTTCCTTGTAGTTCGCAGCGAACAGGGTTTATTTTTTGTAGGCCAGTGAGGGAAATTAACTGTACAAGTTCAACACTTTCTGGTGTATGGCCTGCTTTCGCTAACCCAGAATGGCATTCGCGCGTCATGCCAAGAAAATTCCGCTGCTGACGCGGGAATGCGTCGTCGGAATCGGCAGTAAATACTCGAGTATAGGAATACCAAGACGGCGTAAATCGGAATGCGATCCCAGAAATGCCCGGAAGGTTCATGATGATTTTATCTCGATCATCCACGGTAATTCAATGCGGGACCGATTTTTAAGCTGTAGTATTTCTCAAACTGTTCGAGCCACCAGGTCACAAAATTGAATGGCCAAACCAAAAAGCTTTGAGATGACGTTCAGTTTTATGATTTCATCAAAGTAATCTGGACATAAAATCGCGGTTTGCTGTTACGTCAGAGTTGAGAGGTTTCTTCAAGTACGTTACGTTTTAATAGTAAGCATTCAAACTAGGGACCGTTAGATAATTTTGAGCAATATTCTAGGTAGCCACATTCATTTTAAAAACGTAACCCTACTTATTTGCGAGGAATGCGAAGACAACGAATCAGGCTTTTGAACAATTTTCATGGCGACATTTACTCATCTTGAAACTAGTAACACTTTTCGAGAATGTGTTCCCCACAGCAAGAACGCTTCATTCTTTTATTTTTGGAATAGTTATCCTTTTTCGATTACCCTCGTGAATAACGAGGTCTTATGATATCGTTGAAAAATCTTCTAAGCAATGAGTTGCCTCGATGGTTTTCGATGGATCATTTGAAAACACGCAGAACCAGGACAACTCCGGAACCGACACATTCAAACTTCGTAAGAAAGCACGCAGGAGTTTTTCATTCCTGGTAAGTGAAATCTAAATGCATGTTCTGGTCAATGAAATGCATTCAAATACATTTAATGTATTTGGGCAATTTTGGAAAGATACAGGTGGTACGTCGCAATTTGACCTTCCGCAATTAGACCATCCCACAATTCAACGGTCAAATTTGCTGGGAGGTCAACTCTCCATTCGACCTCTCAATTTGAAAGAAGTTACCATGAAGTATTTTATCTTGATCTGAAATGCCAAAAAGACAATGCAAAAAATTAAAGTTCTCTTTTCTCCTAATAGCACTCAAAAAAAATGTCACCGGCTGAAATTATTCATTTTAATTTTTTCATTCTGAGAAACCTTATTTCAAGACCACTTTTCTAATTTTTTGAAGACATTCCACAACGTAGCTGCTTCATTGGTTCCTAATTTTTGAAAAAGCAGAAATGTTTCAAATGCCTGCCATAAATTCTTTCAAGCTAAATTTGTTTGAGCCAGCTACACTTTTATGATACTTTGTCGGTCTGCCAAAAACATTTTTGGGTAATTTTTTGGTCTGCAAAAAGTTTTATGAAAATTTTATGGTCCGCGGGCCCAAAAAGGTTGGGAAACTGTTTCTAACCTCTCAATGTTTCGCACTGAGGTCGTGCAAATTCAAACGCGCAAAAAACCGGAGATGGTCTTCTAAAAACATTACTAGACAGACATTGATCAGAAAGATGAAGATTTGAAATTGATGAGGAAACCTGGATAAATTTGACTTCGGCACAATTCATATACTGTATGTCCAAGCATAACAAACTAAGCAGGAATTTTCGACTGTCTTTACCTGATACCCGCCAAAAGGCGACGGCGTAGATATTTTGATACAAAAAGGCCGGACCTTTCCGGGTGGTCAAATTAGACACACGAGTTTGATCGATAAGGTCACTATTTCCATACACTTTTTTGTGTCATTTTTTTTTTTTTTACAGAAAATGTCGACGAAGATCGGACGATGCGAGGGTGTAATGAAATGTGGGCGTCACACCTTTCGGCCTTTTCGTGCAGCTCGTGCATTCCTCTCTGGCTTCAACGATAAGAAAACTGTTTTGATATGAGAGCGAAAGTTCCATGATTCCAACATCGGTAAACTAGAAAAATGAATCGCCTCACGCAACTTAAAAAAAAAAAAAAAACCTCACGGATTAGATCTTTCTAAAAGCGAAATTCCAAAAACCTATAAACGTGGAGAAAATTGTTCGGAAACAGCATTCTACAAAGTTAAATACTGTACGTGGAATCTGAGGCATTAATTATTTAATTCATTTGATCTTCAAATTCTTGAACTGAGAAAAACTGTATATTCACAGTTGTACGCGTCTAAGTTTTCAATTTTGAAATTCAAGGATTTGGATTCCGCGTGGATTATTTAAAGCCAGCAACAAAGGGAATTTTACCTGTACGTTCAGAAATTCCCTCGTTTTTCAAGTTCGCCACATAAAAAAAAAAATTCCCTCTCAAAGTTTCTTACAACCAAAGAATGAACAAAAAACTTGACAACGGCAAAGAGACTAATTCTGCCACCACTAAAATGAATATATCTGTTTCGCAATACTGTCGTACGTCAAAGTAACCGGAGGAAAATTTCAAAGAATTCTCGAACAATCCTGAAATAGAAGAAAAGCTTTGCTTTGCTAAAAGATCGTAAGTAAATTGAAGCCACGCGTAGCAGGGACCACGTCGCAGAGAATCCTGTCAATCCGGGTCAGTGTCACTGTCAAGCACATGTTGATTTTCTTCTCTTTCCAAGGTCCTTTCATCGTATTATTTTTTTATGGAGGTTCTGATCCAAGACCGTTGATCGGAACATCAATCACGTGCATTAGCTACTTTATTACAACTTCATTCATAGCTTAATTCATTCAGGGAATACGCCGGGATTCTCTTTTTGGTTCTATATCATATTTCCTTGTAGTTCGCAGCGAACAGGGTTTATTTTTTGTAGGCCAGTGAGGGAAATTAACTGTACAAGTTCAACACTTTCTGGTGAATGCCCTGCTTTCGCTAACCCAGAATGGCATTCGCGCGTCATGCCAAGAAAATTCCGCTGCTGGCGCGGGAATGCGTCGTCGGAATCGGCAGTAAATACTCGAGTATAGGAATACCAAGACGGCGTAAATCGGAATGCGATCCCAGAAATGCCCGGAAGGTTCATGATGATTTTATCTCGATCATCCACGGGGAATTCCCCATTTGGCAGCATAACGACGACGACGACGATGGCAAAAGGGAGCCCCCTATAGATAAAAGGGGGGCAATAGCATCTGTCAAATGATCGTCAATGCAACCCACCCCGGGCCCCGGATCGGCGGGTTCCGTGGTCGCCAGCCGGCCCGGAGATCAGCAGAATCAATCAGGTCCCCATTTTCCGCCTGTCCCATTCAATGCCCATTCCGAGGAATCTATCAAGACGGCCTTTCTCGCGTCCTGTGTTCGCCAGTGCCCCGGATAACGCCGGCAGCAACCAACAGCCACCACAACCGAACCCCCAGAAAAGAGCGTCTGCTCCGAAGACACTGCTACTACACCTTCGCCTGGTGATCATGGCACTCGAAAAAACGTCACGTGCACATAGCAGCGCACGTTCAAAGCAGCGCGCGTGCCCAAAATATAGCGCGCAGCTGATACGATCTCGCACGCGCGTCGGTGAGCAAGATAAAAATAAAACTTGCAGGAAAATACTTGCGAAAATATTCGGCACAACAAACTACAATGTGCAATGCTCATTCAAGATTCATTTATGTTTCGCACTGCAATTCGAGAACTACAAGAAAATCATTTACAATATAATCAGAGACCTTGCGTGGAGATCAAATGCATGACGATTACTTCACAACACCGCCATTGACCCAAACAGGCATGAATTCGGTTTCTGATTTGTTATCCTATTTCCTTTAATTTAATATTAATTTAAGAATAACTGAGATAAAAATGAAGGGGAACGTTGGAGTGTCTACTCTCAAAGTTCTTAACTCCTTGGTTGTGGAGGAGTGCTTGCTGATGATGCGAGACTTATTGACAAATAACAGACAGGCTTTTTTCCCAACAACTTTTTTATTTGTTCAATTTCAACAACTCCATATACTGTACCAAGACAATGTGTCTGGAAGGGAATCTAAAATGACTCTGACTCCTGAGAGGATTTGGTGATCAACTGATTTTAGCAGTCTGAGACTGGGGTTTATATACTCCAAAAATGCTGGTTCCTAGACTTGGGGCAAGAGTTTAATAGAATGCAGTTCAACATGCTTTCAAAACAAGGTGTGGAGAAAGTACTGGAACTGGGCACAATTCTGACCATCTAGGGTGTGGAGATTTATGTGTCTAAGATAGGTGTCTCTTGAAACACTGTTTCAAGTGTCTGGGAGGTCAGCTGAAATTTATGGTCAGCTGAAGCTTACAATGCATGAGCGGATTTCAAGAAGGGATCACCACAAAAGGTGCTGGTGAGAAAATCTCACTTCAATCGGATATACGGAATTTTGCGCAAGAGCAAAAATCTACATGTACAAAAAATACTTTGTAACAGATTGCTGATACGCAACTTCTCTGCATTGCTACCTCCAAAAGTCCACGTGCAAACAACGAACACATTGGAAAAAAAACCGATTGAGCAGAAAAGTTCGCAAAATCATCGATAAAAAAACATATATTTTAACATAAGCATGTGCATTCGGTTTACTGTGACAACTTTGCCCGAAATGTTGAAAATTACAATTGTTCCCGTTGACGAGAAAGGGTTTACAGTATATGTTATAGTGTTTATCTGTATATTTCTAGACAAAAAATTGCTCTTGTGTGTGTTCGAAAAAAAATGAGCACAGGAATGGAAAAAATAACCGAATTTCTCATTGGCATCACGAAATCATCGAATTCATTTAAGGCAAAGGAAGCATGATTTAAAATCTTTCAATTAATCATCCCTACGAATGTGAACGATAAAACCTTGAATTACAAGCATACGTCCTCATAGTTCTTACTTTTCCGGCTTTTACGACACAATTTTCTTCGAACTACGGCATTTTATTTTGTAGCAATAGCACCTGTTTTTCGACACGCTCCGAATGACCCCAATGGAATTCCTTCAAAGGCTGAACGAACAACAGAATTCAAAATAAATTTCTGCTGGATGGAGAAATTGTCATTGTCTAGAAATTTTCCAGAAGATGTTTAATGAAATTTCAAGCTTGCCAAATGCTCTTATTTCCACGCGCTCTGCTTCGCATGCAGTACCTGCTTTCCGGCGAGGTTTCTATAAATGGACTTCTCTTGGCACTGTGGACCACATGGACGAAAACAGTTAAAATAAAAAAGAGCATACAATTAGTTTGGCAGGAGATCCGTTGCGAAAACAGCATTCGACTTTTCTTCGTTCCGAAATTTTCGGCAGATGGAAACTGAGGCCTTTCAATTATTTTCAATGAATAACGTTTTGAATAAATACAGTACACATTTTAAAATTGGAAGCAGCAGTTGCTGTCCAACAACGTTAAAGTATATTTCAGTTTTGTCTCACCTCCTTAATTGCAAACGCGTTGGTACTCCTCAGAAAGCAACTACTAAACATTTAAAAAGAAATGCGCCAGCCTCTAAAGGGTCTAAAGCAATCTATATATTTTTGAAATCTGATGTTAAAATCAGGATCAAAGAATAATTTTAACTCTGCATTGAATAAACATTGCAATGCAAAAAAAAAAAAGTGAAAATGTCAAGGATGCTGGTTACCTACAATTCCAAGAAACGACATTCTAGATTTTTTTTTCATGGGATTGATCGCCTTTCCTCTTCACTTAAAATCTTTGTGCTTTTTGTTTTCAACTGTATTATTTTCTTCATTGAAGTTAGATCAGGTCAACATGATTTTCAATTTATGCTCAGTATTTGTTTATCATTCGAATAAGAACGATTTACAGTCTGAAAGCGAAAAAAAAGTAGTCTTGGCTTTTCCTGAAGTTAAAACTGATGAAATAAGAAAATTTTGTTCAACTAAAACCAAATATGATGGTTGATCTCTGAGCTTGTTTTCAAACCGAAAACGAGGTTTCTTAGCAAATGTAAACCTTCTTCTCAAGCATTGCAATTATTCGATCTCCATTTGCTGCGATTTTCGAGAAGTAGAGACGCGGTATGTACATAATTTTTTTTTTAAACCATGAACCGGTTTTAGCCCAATTTTCGTTTATTAAGACAACAATTCTTGCTTTTTATTTTTTTATTTTACTGATGCATATTCCGAAGAAATATAGTCTCATACCCAAAATCACTAGATAAACTTGTCTCTCAATGTATTCCTTTTAAATGTTGAAGATGCGCGTTTCTCTCAAGGGAACTTCCTTCAAATAGCGCCAAAAAGCCTTTTTCCACAAGTCCGTTTGAATTCAAGCAAGCTGCGAGTATATTATCAATTCATCTAGGAATCAGCAAAACACGTCGGTTAAAAATAAATTATTCTGGGAAGAAACAATAAAAACGAGTCGTTTGGCTGTCTTTTACGAAATGCATGACGCTCACAGCAGACCCCGAAGAAGAAGGCCAGCCGCGAGAGACGAGAAAAGAAAAAACGAAGAAAAAATGACGGAAAAATAAAAGAACTTGAAACGAAGTGCCCAAGATCACGTACTACAGTCATCCGGAATCTTGACTGACTTCTTAGGAAATGGACGGAAGAAGGTGAGGAAGTACGAATAATGCAGGGAACCACTGGGATGGCCTCCATTGTCCGAAAAGGCTGACTGGACTGGCTGACGCGACTGGGTCGAGAGCAGCAGCAACAGCAGCAGCAGCAGAGGCCTAGGCAATGCAATCACCCGCTCCGCTGACGCTCTTCGCATCTCGCTCAGCTAGTCGACTTTCCGAAGGGAAGCTACCTTATTTTTTCTTGCATTTATTCTTTGCCAATTTCAGAAGGAATTCCTTTGACATTAGGCATTGGAGTTGGCTGAGGGAAATGTTGAGGTTTTGTGACAAAAATTAAAGCGTCAGAGTGTGCGAGAGAGGGAAATTCGCGAGAGGAACGAGACCAGCAGTTTCTTTCCTGCGGCAATAATAAGCATTTTGTTGGAAATTACATCCAGATTTTTTTTTCCCTTTCCGAAAAGTTTTACATGATTTCATGTTTTAAAAGGTTTTTTCCCTGAAACCATCCAAGATTTCACTCCCGGGGAGAATATTTCGGTCTCATTCAAAGTCCAAGATTCTTCGACGCTCTTTGCATCTCGCTCATCTAGTCGACTTTCCAAAAGGGAGCTTCTTTATTTTTTCTTGCATTTATTCTTTGCCAATTTCAGAAGGAATTCCTTTGACATTAGGCATTGGAGTTGGTTGAGGGAAATGTGGAGGTTTTGTGACAAAAACTAAAGCGTCAGAGTGTGCGAGAGAGGGAAATTCGCGAGAGCAACGAGACCTTTTGTTGTTTTCCTGTGGTTATGATGAGCAATTTTTTGGAAATTACATCCAGACTTTTTTTTTCACTTTCCGAAAAGTTTTAAATGATTTCATGTTTTAAAAGGTTTTTTTTTTCTTCGCCCTGAAGCCATCCAAGGTTTTTCTCTGGGGGAGAATATTTTGGTCTCATTCGAAGTCCAATAAGATTCTTTGACGCTCTTTGCATCTCGCTCATCTAGTCGACTATCCCTGAGAGCTTCCCTATTTTTTTCTTTCATTTATTCTTCGCCAATTTCAGAAGGAATTCCTTTGAAATTAGGCATTGGAGTTGGCTGAGGGAAATGTGGAGGTTTTGTGCAAAAACTAAAGCGTCAGAGTGTGCGAGAGAGGGAAATTCGCGAGAGGAACGAGACCAGCAGTTTCTTTCCTGTGATGATGATAAGCAATTTTTTGGAAATTACATCCAGATTTTTTTTCCACTTTCCGAAAATTTTTCCATGATTTCATGTTTTAAAAGGTTTTTTGCTTTTTTGCCCTGAAACCATCCAAGATTTTACTCAGGGGGAGAATATTTTGGTCTCATTCGAAGTCCAAGATTCTTTGACGATCTTCGCATCCCGTTCAGCTAGTCGACTTTCCGAAAGAAAGCTTCCCTTTTTTTCTTGCATTTATTCTTTATTCTTTGCCAATTTCAGAAGGAATCCTTTGACATTAGGCATTGGAGTTGGCTGAGAGAAATGTGGAGTTTTTGTGACAAAAACTAAAGCGTCAGAGTCTGCGAGAGAGGGAAATTCGCGAGAGGAACGAGACCAGCAGTTTCTTTCCTGTGATGATGATAAGCAATTTTTTGGAAATTACATCCAGATTTGTCTTCCACTTTCCGAAAAGTTTTACATGATTTCATGTTTTAAAAGTTTTTTTTCTTTGCCCTGAAACCATCCAAGATTTTTCTCTAGGGAGAATATTTTGGTCTTATTCGAAGTCAAAGATTCTTTGA